ACTCATGGTGACCCCACACTGAGTGGAACAAAATGCTGTCCAGTCCTGTGCCATCCCCATTAGCAGCTGCAGATCAGACCATTGTAATCCAGTGTTTTCATTGGCTGATATTTGGAAGTAGATAGCCAGACCTTTCTTCCTAGTCTCAGTCTGGAAGTTCTACTGAAACCTGTTCGGCATCACAGCAACACACAAGCCTCCATTGACAGACGAGTGGTGGCCGCACATAAGAAACACTGGCCAGAGATTGAACCCGGGTCTCTCATGTAAGAGGCAAGAATTCCACCACTGAACCACCGATGCCTCAACTACAACACTGGGGTGGCCTTAATCATCAGATGTGAATAATCAAGACTTGGCTCTATTTTTACAGTGCTGTATTCTGTCCTTCACAGAAGGAACCGATAGCAAAGTTAAAAATTTCACAATTTAGCATCGTGTTTAAGGGCACAGGCTCTGCAGGAAAACTGAGTTTACTGCTTTTAGAATGGTAAAAATGGTACCCACCTCCCAGAGCTAGCCTGAGCATTAAGTGAGAGACAGTTCGAGTAATATCCTTAGCACAGCCTCTGGCCTAAGCAGTCCACACATAGTTGTTGGGGTTTCACAGTATTATCACTGTCTCAGCAATAGTACCTACTAGAAATACTGTATCGTATGGCCTAGGAGGAAAGGACCTCAGAAATGCATTACTTCAGTTGTAAACCAGGCAATAACTCACTCTACCTCACGTCCCTGTCCAATGACATATAGTGTATCAAGAACAGGGAGTTCACCTTCCCAAAGGCAGCTGATTTCATGACTGAATCACTGTCACCCTTAGAAAGCTCTTCCTCCTGATGCTTTCTCCCATTTTTCCTCTGAAACAACCCAAAATAAGGCTATTGTCATTTCTATGTGGTCTTTCTACTCGGTGAAGGCCTCTGTCCTAACCTTCTCTAACTCTTCTTTCTAGCTGGGCTCTGGGGAAGAGACCGCTGCTGTCAATTGCAGACCAGCTTTTTCTCTGTCTCCAACTGCCACAGCCTGAGATGTCCTGTTGAAATTAAGCTCTATCTGGAAGGTCTAGGTGGAAGGGATAAATTCACTTTGTAAAATACATAGACCCCACACGCATGACAAAGGAGTCCCTGGGTGGTACAAAAGGTGAAGCATTCAACTACTAACCAGAAGGTTGGCGGTTTGAACCCACCCAGAGGCACCTCAGGAGAAACGCCTGGCAATCTGCTTCCAAAGGGTCACATCCATGGAAACTCGATGGAGCATGGTTCTACTCTGCAATGCATGGGCTCACCACGAGTTGGAACGGATTCGGTGGTAACTGGGTTGGTTTGTGTTTCCCATGACAAATGAATCCCTGCTCCTTCCCTACCCTGTAAACACTACCAGTTAAAAACAAAGAAACCAAGGACCACGGAAACAAAGAGAAGAGTTTGATTTATTGGTTGCTCTTTGGGAAAGATTATTTAGAACACTATTGAGGTGAAAAGTAAATTCTAGATACAGATGCATAAAACTTTAAACCCAATTAGCTTTTTTTTTAATAGCAAATCCTCTCTAAACTTCATACAGAGCAATCAAAGTCTATATAATCCTTTGTTGTTTTTAAATGATTAAAGCATACATAATACATAACGCAGTTGATATTAAATATCTTGGGGGGATGACAAATCAATAGAGCTACTTCACTCTTCAGCATTAACTGGTCGTTTATAAATGTTCTGTACATACCCTTTCCATTTTAAATTTTCTCCTTAAAAGGACTTTACTTGTGAACCATTTGTCATCATCTGCTCTTTGTCTATACACACAAGTCTTCCAAAATAACATCTAAAGTTTTTCTTAATATTTCTTCAGGAATGTTCATTTTTAAGGAACATTCCATTAAAAAAATAAAAACTCAGGCCTTGACTCTGTAACACATATTCCGATATGTCAGGATTTACTGTTTCCCTGACCTGAAACCCCATGTTAAAAGCCTCTAACAACATACAAGGTGCCAGCTTCTTTGCCCAACTCAGAGGAAGTTACATAAAAGAAGAAAAATAAAATGCTTGAAATCACAGTGACCAAAAGCTTTGAATTAATAATTACATTAAATAACCATAACTTTTTGTTTAACTATTCACATTCCACACAGTGGAAATTATCCTTTCCTCCAGATTTTCCACTTACGTTTTTCAACTTTGAAGAGAGACAAGAACATAGAAACAACTCACAGGCTTTACTACATACAAGATGTGTGTTTTTCTCTTTTAACGCCAAAGTCAAAGTGTACATCATAAAACTCATATTTGGTGTTTGGCATTATTTGACTAGGAAAGACTGAGATCACAAATATCTTTCCATTAAAAAAAAAAAAGAAATTCAACTCTAATAATGAAAAAAATACATCATAACCTCATTCGGTGACTCCAATACGTAACAGATATGGCATTTTCAATAATGTTGGAGGGCATACCATAGGGCTAGTCTTAATACAGACACAGTAAGAAAAGCAGACATTCCTCTGGGCTTTAGGGTAGTTACGCCACTGATGATCTCAGTCAAGTTAATTTTGAGGAAATTCTCTGTACTTGAGCCGAATTTGACTTACATGCAAGACTGTGGTACAAGCTACTAAAGGAAGATTTCTGCCGCCAACAAAAGCCATCTCTTTTTAACAAAATTGCATGCCTGTGGCAGAGTTAAAACAACAAGAGAAATTTAGTGTTTGCGGGTGCTGAATGTCATTGGTCCTTTCTGGTGTGGTTTTACATTTTCAGCTCCTTCCCCTTCCTCTCCCCCACCCTCAAAATTCTGGCTTAGCATTTGTGTGCTTAATTAGATCCATTCTGTGCTTTATTGTTGGCGGATGTGGATGACACAGATTTAGGCAAGTGACAGAGGCACACAGTGTAGACAAAAAGCACAGACTAGGCGTCCGCACACATCTGCCTGGTGCAGAATCCTCAGTAGTGAGTTTAAAAGGTTCAAAATCAGATCCAACATTTTGGGTGTTTGAGATAACTTCGGCCTCAAAGTATGGTTCCTGTTTAGCTGTTTAGATAGGAAAGCACTGGACCAAAATAAAAACAGCTTCTTTGGTTTCAACGGTTCTCTGAATGCTGGAACCACGATGGGCAACTGAATCCCAAGTCTGTGGTGTTTGGTTTCCATATTACACATGACTCGTATAGTGAGGTGAGAAGCTACGAGGCAAAAAGAGTATTTCAGGAATTTACATATAAAACAGATTAGAACAGAACAGGCTAGCCAACTCCCAACTGCCGTAAGGTGGCCGCAGCCTTCACTTGGTCATTAGACACAGCCTAAGTAGGCATTGAGAGCAGCCCGAGTTTAATCAGGGGACAGCGCCTATCAGTAGGGTACCGAATAGTTACAATTACGTGGATCCCACCAGCAGCAGCGGACAGTTAATCTACCCAAATGATCTGCTTTAAGAAGGTCTCCATATCCCTCACCCCATCTCCTAGGTATTAAGATCTAACTACTCCTGTTTCGTTCTGTTGTACGTAGGGTCGCTATGAGTCAGAACTGACTTGACAGCAACGACTTCTTAGCCAGAGTCTCTGGGTGGTGCAAATGCTTAATCACCTCAGCTGCTAACTAAAAGGTCGGAGGTCCCAGTCCACCCAGAGGGGCTTCGGGAAAAAGGCCTGGAGATCTACTTTTGAAAAAATAAGCCATTGAAAACCCTATGGAGCACAGTTCTACTCTGACACACATGGGGTGAGTGGAAGTGAACTTGACTGCAAATGGTTTACAGGAGTAGTTATTCCCTTACTCCTCTATTTCCTTCCTGTCCTCTTCTCTCTGGCTAAATCTCCACTTAAAACAAGACTGGAAATATAACGGGGCAGGCCTTGAACTCCATCATCTTAGATGGGTTCTTTTATAGCAGCTACACTCCCAAGAGGCAGAACCTTTTAGAATACAGGGTCACGGCTCTCAGAAGCATTATGCAGAATAATGAAGTGCAGAGGAGGGATATTAGGACCTTCTGCCTAAGCGGTTTTTGTCTTTTGCCTGTGTAGGGGGTTCTGAGCTACATCTCCTGCCCACCCGAGGGGCAAAGCAGGAGGGGCTGTTCTGGTTTGGCTTGCTCCTCAGTTCTAAAAATAGGACTGGTCAATACTTATGTCTTGAGTTTGGTGCTGGGTCACAGCTAGTTTTAGCAGATTACAATGTCGGCCAAAGTTAATGATTTTTGGCTAGTCTCATTTCTCTTGTGTTCACTTGAGTTCTGTTAAAACCAGGAAAAAGAGGACACTCCCATTAAAGCACAGGTCTCACTGTGTTCCGGGTTTGCCTGCTAAGCCTCTGCCCATTTCCCTACTGAGTTTTGCAAGGCCCAACCTGACCTCACTCTCAATCCCTTCCTTTCTCACTCCTCGATCCTTCTCATCCTTCTCGACCAGCCTCCCCAGGGCCTGGAGGATCTTCACAAAATGGAAAACATTCCCATCCACAGTCAGGTCAATTAACTTAGAGACTGCGGCAGACGTGGAATTACACTAACGTGGTCACTGAGAACCTAAAAGGGGAAGACAGCGGAAGGGAGGAGAGGGGCGGAAGCAAGCACAGGTAGAAACACTCTTCCAAGTCTACTGCGGCACTGAAACAGGTGTCTCGCGCCCAGAGCAGCCTCTTCCATTAATGCTCACTTGGAAGGGAGACACTGGTCTCCAGGAGGGCACATGGCAGACAAAGGCAGAACCAGACCACAGCCCTGCCCCTTTGCATGGGCCTCGGGGCAATGCGGGTTCTGTACCATCCCCAGCTGAAGCTGATACGTTTACCTAATAGGACATGCCCTCTAGCAGAGGCTGTGTTTCCTCTGGTGTCTCTGAACACCCACGGGCACCCACACACACGCGTGCACACAAACTACAGACGAGCAGGCTTCTGCAAAGAGGCAGCTGGTGGGTCTTCATGCCCTTAGGTTTAAGCCAAGTAAGAATCAGATTGTTGTAGGTCTGGTTATGAGCCCGCCCGGGGCTGCATCCCCAGGACAGGCTGGGTGTGCTGGCTTAATCCAAATCGATGGATATACAACGACATTGCTTCACACGTGTGACCCTCTTCTTCTTGGTGGGTGGCTGCAGTTCAGGGCAGTTGAGCGTGACCATCATGGTGGTGAATTTCTTGGGCTTGCAGAAGGAGCAGGACTGGAAGGAGCCTTCCTCCTTCCGGATGTGCCGCGGGATGTAGAAGGAGTTGCACTGGCCGTAGCAGAAGCGGTTGATGATGGTGCGGCTGTTACAGCCTTCCTCGTGGATGGTCTGCTTCAGCGGCTGCGTCTTGCACCAGTCTCGCTTCAGGTATTTGCGCTCGGTCACATGCAGGGCCTCCTGGCTGGACTCCAGCACCTCCTCCCCGGGCATGGCGGTGCCCCGGCCCTGGCCCCGCCCGCGGTTCCTGGATCCCGGCTGCGGGGGTGACTGAGTCTGCTCCGAGTCATTGTGTTGCGCCTTGTCTGGAGGGGGGATGGCCCCTTGGGACCCTTTCTTTTTCCCTTCGGCAGCCGGCAGCAGGGTCCCCAAGAGGAGAAGCAGAGCTCCCACAGTGTAGGCGGTTCGGCTCATGCTAAAGGAGGGAAGCACAGGCGGGGAGACAGGAAAAACGGAAAAGTTAACTCTTTACAAAAGGAATAATAGCTCCTAACATTTTTATCAAACCAAAAAGCAGCTGCCTTTGAGTTGATTCCGACTCAGGGCGACCCCATATGTGTCAGAGTAGACCGGTGCTCCATGAAGTCTTCAATGGCTAATTTTTCGGAAGTAGATCACCAGACCTTTCTTCCGAGGAGCCTCTTGGTAGGCTGAACCTCCAATCTTTCGGTTAGCAGCCAAGCAAGTTCCCTGTCTGCACCACCCAGGGACTCCCAGCATTTTTCTCAGGCATTTGTTCAACACTTCCTGTAAACTATTTCATCATCATTTCACAGTCGCTCTATGAATTCGATACTATGAGTCTTATTATTGCTATTATGTTACTGCTCTCTTGATCATCACGCCACGCCGCAACTTGCCCCGGCTCACACAGGTAACTCGCCAATATCTGAACTCAGTCAGGGACTGTGTCTTCGACGCCTGTACTGCCACAGGAGTTTCTCCCTGTCTTTGCCTTTTATGATCGTCACATAAGTGTATTCACTCCTGGGAGTTACAGTTTCTAGTAAGCTCCTGCTATATTTGCACCAGATGACTTTTATAAGCCTGCGGGGGGCGGGGGGAGCATATTTTCTACTTTTTTTTATTGTGGTAAATATACATCTGTAACAAAACCTTTGCCATTTCAGCATTTCTTCCTACGTACAATTCAGTGACATTGTGTTTTATCCTGTTGTTCAGCCGTCACCATTATCCATTTCCGAATTCTTTCATTGACCTGAACAGCAGCTCAGGGTGCCCTAAGCAATCAGTCTCCCTTTCCCCCTCCCTCATGCCTACCCCTGGTAACCACTAATAAACTTTGCTTTTCATACACCTGCCTGTTCTGGGTATTTCATAGAAGTGGGATCATACAATATTTGTCCTTTTGTGACTGACTTATTTCATTCAGCAAGATGTTTTCATGGTTCATCCATGTTGTGACTATCTTGTTTTATAAACAAGATGAATTAACTTCACTGCCCAGAGGGCGTCACTCTCAGGAAAGGCTTGTGGTTTCTCCCCAGCCGGCCTGAGTGTCTTCTGAGCCATGCTCGGTTGCTGGAACGCTTATGAGAATTTTCATCGTTATCAGGCACTGAGAGGGAAGGAGAGACCAGTGGAGATCAGAAAGCACCTGTCAGAGAGAGAACAACTTAACAGGAAGATCACTGGATGGGAAGTCAAGACTGACTTTCCAGCTACCCGACCTTGAGAAAGTCACCTTACTTCTCAGTGACTGATTTCATCTAAGCAAAGACACAAATACCTCACCTCCCCAGACAGAAAAGTGAAAGTCACTTCAGAGCTAACCATAATGGAAGGTGGGTATTACAGACAAAACGAATTACTGTACCAGGAAGATCACATAATTTGTAAGACACCTTGATTCCTCACATATTCTCATCTTGGGAACGGGGCACAGAGAGTCATTATATTATTCTTTATACTAGGTATATAATTTTTCTAAGGAGCCCTGCTGGCACAATGGTTAAGCACTCGGCTGTTAACCGAAAGGTTGGTGGTTTGAACCTACCAGTTGCTCTGCTAGAGAAAAGACCTGGCAGTTTGCGCCTGTAAAGATGACAGCCAGGAAACCCTATGGGGCAGTTCTACTCTATCATACAGGGTCACTATGAGTCAGAATAGACTCGATGGCACCCAAAAACAAGACATACATTCTTCTACCTTTTAAATTGTGAAATATCTCATTCAGTGTGAAATATGTCATGATGTATATAAAAACCAAACCAGAACAAACCAAACCCGTTGCTGTCGAGTCAATTTTGACTCATGGTGACCCCACAGGACAGAGGAGAACTGCCCCATGGGGTTTCCAAGGAGTGGCTAGTGGATTCGAACTGCCGACCTTTCGGTTAGCAGCCGTAGCTCTTAACCACTGTGCCACCAGGGCTCTGACGTGTATACACACACAGACATATATAATTTATACATATATATAATTTATACATATATAATTTAAAAGGTAGGAAAAATGGGCACAACTGGACAGGTATCTACAAATATTTATATTAAAAAATGCTATGAATAAATGACTGAACAAATTATTGTGGATGGGCCTGGAGCTTGATATAGGTCAGAAAGGGCAATGGCATATGAACAATGGCAAAAAGAAGAAAATAACGGGTGGGGGTGTAGAGAAAACTGACAAAAAGTAGGAAAACAAAGATGGAGAGAAAGAGAAAAAAATGAACGGAATATAAATCCGAGGGAAAAAAACCCAAATCCATCGCCAACAAGTGGATTCTGACTCAGGGTGACCCCATATGTTACAGAGTGGAACTGCTCCACACGGTTTTCTTGGCTATAATCTTTATGGAAATGGATTGCCAGGCCTTTCTTCTGCAGTGGCATTAGGTGGGTTCAAACCACCAATCTTTAGGTTAATAGTTGAGTACAAGCTGTTTGTGCCACACAGGGACCTAAAAAAGGACAATTCTAGAGGCAAGGGGTTCAGGGAAAGGAGGACAGACAGAGGAGGAGGAAAAGGGAGAGAAGCATATTTTTTGAAAGGGGAGGGCTACAGAGAAGTGTTCAGACTATTCAGATTCTCCTAGGACAGAGCTTCTCAAACTTACGTCCAGACTAT